AGTCCGGAATTTTTGTTAAAGGTGTATAAACTGGAAGCGAGTCAAGCTATTCCGAATCCTCGGTTGCCACGCGATTTTTTTGATTTGGACTCCGTGGAGATCAGAAAAGAGCAGCAGCAAAGAGAAGCTGATGTCGAAAAAGTGAGCATCATTCGTGTGTTTTATAGATGTACCTCACACGCGTAGGGTAAAAATATCGTTGTATTGTGGCAGGCTAACTGGTGAGGTATCAGTTATTTCTTGGAATTCTAGACTGAATTATTATCGCCTTGTCTTACATTCTAGAGATTTGGACTACCTAAGCTTACTTTATTGCACGTTCGAGTGAATCACAGCGTTTCTTTTCCTCTGCACAACGAATTATCACAAAACTGTAGATTCGAATCTAATCATTTTAAACATAAGTCGAGAAAACTACTCGTTTTGAAATTGTGCAGTAAATTTGTTTCAGTTGTCCACATTGCGGACACGTGAAATGCGTGAGCGGGAACAAGTAATGCGTAATTATCAGTACAAGTACACGCTACTCAGGATCAGATTTCCCAACCGCTTGTTGCTTCAGGTTCATTTCATTTTGTTTCGGGCAACATACTGCACTAATATGTGCTGGACTGCTCTCATGCTCTAGCTGAGCCATTTTTCGTGATTCAAAGCATACGGTGATGCTTCTGGGGACTCATTAACTTTATTATATTGAGGCATTTTTCACTTTTTTCATCAATAAATTAAAACTGCATTCAGTTTGTTTTCGATGCAGACCTCGGAAGACCGCATCCATTGTTTACACTCTTATTAGCGTAAACTGTTGCGGAGAGTTTCTTTTGCTTCGCAGAGATAACGAAATGTGGGACTGTTTTTATCGAGAGTTGAGTTAATATTAGGTATTAGAGGATGGAAATGCATATTGAATTTTGTTTCGAATAGGTTTTTTTGCTGTTCCTTCGCCTTAAACAGATTTCAAATTGTTAAACTGTGTATTGTGATTAGTGAAGCATGCGGTGCTTACTTTTATTTGTCAACGGAAAAACCAATTCCTCTGCGGCTCATCTTGCTCGGGTAAATTAGTACTAGGTTATGAAGCATGCAAAAAGCTAAGTCACCTTCAGCCCTTTTTCAGCTTACCACTGGAAAAGGCAGCTTCTGCCGTTTCGGCTGGTTACTGCTAAGGACGGTTGCTCGGGCCACTCTGAAATGCCTTGGTTTCTCACACAAAATGAAGTATGAAACGGAATGGGTTTCCAGCTTTT